GTTATTTTTTTTTTATTAAGATGTCTTTTCATTGGAAAGACAGATGTACGGACAGAAGAAGAGACAAAGATCTTCCCACCCTCTAGTTCACTCCCCAAATGGCCACAATAGCCAAAGCTGAGACAATCCGAAGCCAAGAGCTTCGAGCTTCTTCTGGGTTTCCCACGCAGGTGCAAGGTCCAAGGCTTTGGGCCGTTATCCACTACTGTAGGCCACAAGCAAGCCACAAGCAGGGATCTGGATCGGAAGTGGAGCAGCTACAATATGAATCAGCACCCATATGCGATTCTGCACTTAAAGGTAGAAGATTAGCCAGTTGAGCCATTGTGCTCAACAATTATTATTTTTAAAAATTATGTATTAAGGCCCGGCGCGATAGCGTAATGGTTAAGGTCCTCGCCTTGCATGCCCGGGATCCCATATGGGCACCGGTTCTAATCCCAGCAGCCCCGCTTCCCATCCAGCTCCCTGCCTGTGGCCCGGGAAAGCAGTCGAGGACGGCCCAAGGCTCTGGGACCCTGCACCCATGTGGGAGACCCGGAAGAGGCTCCTGGCTTTGGATTGGCATAGCAGCGGCCGTTGCGCTCACTTGGGGAGTGAATCATCGGACGGAAGATCTTCCTCTCTGTCTCTCCTCTCTGTATATCCACCTTTCCAATAAAAATTTAAAAAAATAAATCTTATGCTGACACATTTCTCAAATGGTAACAATGGCCAGTGCTGGGTCAGGAACTTTACCCAGGTCTCCCAGTTGGGCACAGGAGCCCAAACACATGGGCCATTTGCTGCTCTTTTCCCAGGTCATGAGCAATTGGACATGAACCAGCACCCCTATGAGATGTGGTGTCAGGGGAGGCTTTATTGTGAACTCTTTCTATACACAGGGCAGAGTGAATATGGGATTGACTAGGACTAATCCTTGGGACATAACGGGAGGTAGCTGGCAGGATACACAAGACCATGACAGTAGGCAGTGAGTGATAAATGTTGTTAAGCAAGATCCTGCTATGTTGCTTAGAAGGGAAGGAATTGAGGATGGCTTCCTAGAAGAGGTGACCTTGAGAACAGACATCATTTGGGTTGATAAAGATGTAGGAGAACAAAGGGCGGGCAGTGAAGGTGGAGAGCCCAGACAGAGAGTAAGAGGTGTGATGGTGTGCACTTGCCAAGCACTGGCAGAGGTGTTTACTGAGTACCATGTGCTGGCCAGGGTAGGCTGTGCTTTACGGGCACACAGCATGCAATTTGACTAGCATCCTCCTATTATGACGGAGGGAATCCAGACTCAAAGTGGTCCAGAGTAGCCTGGCTGATGACACAGCTTTCTCACAGATCCCACCTGTCCCCATGAGTGTCTGTCTCTTGGCAAGCTAGTGGGAGCACGTGGCCCTAATCCTGGGTTGGGGGCCAGCCCTCAAGGGCTTTGAATGCCTAAGAAATGGAGCTGGGTATTATAGCAGTGCAGTGGGGGAGCCATGGAATGTTCTACTTTAAAAAATCTATTAGAAAAAGATATCTTCCATTTGCTAATTCATTCCCCACATGCTCTCAACAGTCAGAGCTGGGCCAACCTGAAGCCAGGAACTCCTTCTGGGTCTCCCATGTGGGTAGCATCATCTGCTGCCTCATGGGATCTGCATCAGCAGGAAGTTGGAGTTAGCAGCTGGAGCCAGGTCCTTTGATACAGCATCCTAACCAGCATCTTAACCACCAGGTTCAATGCCTGTTCCTGTGGAATGCTGTTGACCAGACGGCATGGCTATGATCTGGCAATTGTAGCAGCAGGTGAGAGGATGGATGGATGGTGCGTTGAAGAGAAGGTAAAGAGAAGAGGCCAGGTTTGTGGCTACCACAATGGGCCAAGGTAGAGGGCCTTTCTAGGCCAGGGGCCTCTGTTTTTACACCCGAACACTGGAAGGGTCACACCCAAACTCAAACCCTGCAGCCACACAGGCTTATTGAGTAGTGAACGCCCCCAGCCTTGGGACTCAGCCATCCTGCTGGGCCACCTGCATGTGAAGCAGCTAAGACCTTAACACAGGAGGCTGGAGGAGTCTCCCAGGGAAGAAGCTGGCTTTTACAGATGCAAAGAGGGAAGACCAAACACTCCTGGCCCATAGTCTCAGTCCCATGGAACTGACCATTTGGAACTGGTTAATATGTGGTGGAGAACCTTAGCCTGGTTGGCACCTAGCAGCTTCTCCTCCATCCTGCCATGGTCCTTGCCCACTCCTCAGAATAAAGTCAGAGTTCCTGCCCCAGCTGCTTCAACCCCAAAGGCTTCTACCACCAGCCAGAAATGCTTGCCTAGACTGTGACCTCCGAAACCTGGGTCAAAGGCAAGGCCAGGCCTCAATTCTCCTCTGTTCTCCCAGAGAGGTCTTCTGTCCTCACTCTTGCCCTGTTTGTGCAGCTAACCAATGTCCTGGTCACTTACTAAGCACCAGGCTCAGAGCTGGAGGCATCTGGGATACAGCAAAAGGGCAAAAGGTGGAACAACACATCTTTGGATGTGGGAACATACACACACACACACACACACACACACACACGGAACTGACAGTACGGCTGGGCATAGGGCAGAATCTGTGAGCAATCACTGGGGTCCCGTCCGGAGATGTACCCATTAAACTAAAGCCAGGCATGCAATGACTTAGAGCAGAAAAGTCCTAGGGCAGGAGACAGGGTAAGATTGGGGGGTCGGGGGAGGCTGAAGGTAGACAGCCTTGTTGACTTCAATGACAACTCTGGAGTGTGTTCTGAAACACAGGCAAAGTCTAACCCTAACTCCAGCCCACCTCAGCCCCTGCTTATGTAAAACCAAACACTACTCCACAAGAATCCCTGGCTTCAGTTTCTCCATGTGTACGCCCAGTCTCTGTGCAGCTCGGATACCGGATGCTAGGGACTCAGAATGGGGCCGAAGGGACTGGATGAGGGGAGCAGCAGGCTGGGGACCGGGCTGGGTCTGGGGGATGGTGTCTCTGGCATGGGAGCTGCATGCCCTGGTCTTTCCTCAGCTCTCCCAGACAGGAGCTGTCCACAGGAGCCATTCCTGGAAACCACCTGGGAAGAGCTTAGGCCAAAGAGGTGGGGGTGTGTCCTCCCTCTCAGGGACAGGCTAAGGCCCTGCTCAGCTCCAGTCTGGAGAACGGAAGATGCTGTGGCAGCTCCTAGCCTGGGGCAGGCTGGGACATCCTTGGGTACTCGTGAGGCAGCCCCTTCTCTGGAGCTTTGGGATCCCCAAACTTCCCTTTTCTGGAAACCGAGAGGGAAATGCATTGGCCCCAAGCAGAGTCACTTGTCTGCCTGTAGGCCAAGAGTTTACAAAGGTCTTTCCAGACCACAGGGGCAGCTCTGGGGCCCGGAGAGAGCAGACATTACAGGGCTTTTTGCCCAGGCTCCTGCCAGACCTTTGATCCACACTGGCCCACTCCTTCAGCCGGTGATGGCCTCTCTCCAAGTCCCATCTGTAGGGAACATTCCCTGTCCACCACCACAGTCACCTGACCAGCATGAAGCGGAAAGCGGAACAGAGAAGCAGGAAACTTTCCTCCTCCAGGTTTCCCACAGCCACAGCTGCAGGATGCCCCAGCCCCCTTCTCTCACCTGCTCCAACATGGGGCCCTTCACTTGCGGCTGATGCACAAGGATAAAACCTAGGTCTCTCTAGGGAGTTGTGTGTATGTCCATGGAATTTCTGCAAGCATGCACAGGTCCAAACCACTGTGTAATCTCCCTCCCCTCTCATTTTTACAGACCTGATTTAGGTCCCAGCCCCACCTGCAACTGTACAGATGAAAAACGGGTCGGCTAACAGGATCTGCTACTCCACTGTGAGAGCTAGATGGGCTGGTAGCAGGTAAGATCTTGGGCCAGCACCGATTAGTAGTGGTTGCTATTTCATCAACGGCCTGGTCCCCAGCTCTCCTTAGAGGCAGACTGTCCTGGCTCCACCAAGAAAGGGGGTTGTTATTACAATCAGAACCTGCGGCTGCCCATTGAGCCCTCCTCAGCATCTGTCCTGGAAGGAGACAGGAGGAGGCGGAGCAGGAGGGTCCCAGTCCTGCTCACAGCCGGGGGAGGGGGAGGAGGGGCAGGACATCAAAGGGTGGGCAGGCCAGGTCCCGCCCCCACAGCCAGGTGGCCTTTGTCAGGACAGGCCGGACACTATCTGGACAATGCGCTGTCGTGTGTTCACTTCCCAGCCAACAGGAATCACTGCCGAGCCCAGGCACAGCATGTTACATGACAAAGGTGGTGGTGGGGGGAACCTATAGAGGAGGTCAGGCCGCCCGCCCGCCCGGGGAGGAAGCTCGGCCTTTGTCCTGTCCCCTCCCCTGCCTTTGAAGAGGGTGATCAGAGAGGCCTGGGGGCCAAACAGCAGCCACCTTCCCACCTTCCAGCTGTTCCAGAGTCCCCTCCCCCAGGGTCAAGAGTTCAGGGAGCACCCCAGAGGAGCAAGGTAGGGACCCCCTGCACTGATCTAACCAAGGAGGGTTCTTACTCAGCTCCAGCAATGGCCTGGCTATCAGCCCCAAAGAGCAAGAGGGGTCTGTCCCTTGCTCCTTTGCCCTGGCAGTGAACGAGATGAGTTTGGGATAGTTGACTAAAGTAATGGAGGAAGCCCCCTACTCCCCAGGGGCAGAGTTGCTAAAAGAGCCTCCAGATTAAGAGTCTGAGCCGTACCTATATAGTTTCTGCCTTGCTTGGCAACCACAGGGCCATTGCTTCGCTTGTGGGTATTGGAGGTTGGGGTCAGAAGTCTCCCTCTTAAGGAGAGAGGGTTAGCTTGTGCTTCCTAATGCCCTGATTTGGTGAGGGCTGCGAGGGGCCCTGAAAGGAAGCTGCCCAAGAGTGAGAGGGATCAGGAGGCACACTCTGGAAAGCCGACCAAGGGCACGGGCCGTCCAGGAGATGCCCTAGCCTATATGGGCACCTGCCAGTGCCAGGAGAGGTAGAGGCTCTTGAAGGGCGCAGGCGCCAAGAGGGGTCCTTACCACTGCCTCCGCCGCCTCCCGCCGCCACGCTGCGCCGCATCCATTCATAGGGTGTCCGCCTCTGTGCTCCAGGCGATGATGGGCCACCCGGGCTACCCAGGTGCTGTGCCAGGAGGCCGGCGCCCGGCCCAGGGGGCACAGGCACTGGGCTAAAGTCCGGAGGAGGCCCAAATGCAAGTGGGGCTGAATTGGCAGCAGGCACCGTGGGGCCAGAGCCATAGGTGGACACCCAGTCGTCCTTGGGTGCAGTGAAGGGTGCTCCCCAAGCCGTCGAGGGGGTGGGGGCCGGCTCCACGTGAGAGTAGCCGGTGAAGTCCGGGTACTGAGAGGGCGTAGGGGGCGGGCCTGGTGGCCCGTAGGTTTGTGGGCCCAAACCAAGGCTGGCGGGCCTGGCGGGGCCGGGGTACACCGGGGACTCCTTGTCGAGCACATAGCCCACGTACATGGTGGCCGCGGGGTCCCCCACGCATGCTGGGCCCCCCGGAGCCGCCGCTGCCGGCCGCCCCGACGACTAGCAACCGCTCACCTGAACTCGCCGGCCCCGGCCGCCGCTGCTGCCCCACCCAGGCCTTTTATAGCTCCGGGCTGCCCGCGGCCCCAGCCCAGGCGGGTTTGCATTTCAAAGCGGGGGGAAGCCTCCAAGCCGAGAATCAAAGGGGGAAGCCCGTCGGGGGCGGGGGTGGGGGGTTTCAAAAGGAGACAAATTGCCGCCCCGAGCGGGAGGTGGACACGGCGGGAGGGGGGCAGGAGCACTGGCTAGGCAAGGGTGCCCCCTCGTCGGTACCTGCGGGACCTGCCTGCCGTGCGGGTGGCTTTCCCGCGGGGGACCGCGCTGCAGGTGCCAGAGCGCACGCCTAGGGGTCGGCCTGCGGATCTGCGGCGGCCTGACCCTGGCACTCTGCAGTGACCAGCAGCTCGAGGGGCCGACTTCCACCAGGGCTCCTGTCTGTAAGGTAGCGGGTCCTTCCTCCTGGGAGGGAGAGGGCGGGCTGGGTCACGACCCCATGGCTTGCCTGAAAGCTTTGGTGGTTTTCCCGTTTCCCACCTAGGAGCTTGCACAGAGGCGCAGGCATGCAGGAGTCTGCCTGCTTGCCCTGGAGTTTCTCTGGAGAGAAGTTCTCACTGGCTGGCTTCTGGGACCATTTTGAGGAAACGTCCCGAGTTCTCTTAACCACTCTATCCTTGTATGATTAGTGTTCAATGTGGATTGGTTTTAAGACACACAAAAGCAGAATTGCATAACGAACGGTATAGCTTTAGGGTTGCATAGCTCAGCTTTCCTGATCACCTAAGTGTTGTCACACTGACTTCGTTTTCTCCTCATTTTTTCCTAAGCATTTTAGATTTCACAGTCCTGTCAGTCCCATCCCCCTGCCTCCCCACCCCCCGACATTAGCACATGTCTCTTAAACACACGGATGTTTTCTTTTCATGCCAGTTATCACATCTAACAAAAACAACACAAATCGCTGGCTTTTACCTAACACACAGCTGTAGTCCCAAGTACTCCAAATGACTTAAAATATCTTTGTAGCCATTGGTTCATAGAGTTGCGATTCATTTATTATAGCTGGAGCACTCTAAGGATTTATTTTTATTTATTTGAAAGGCAAAGTTAAAGTGCCCGACATGATGGCTCAACTGACGAATCCTTTCCTTACAAGAGCCATATATACACACTGGTCCCAGTCCCAGCTGCTTTGCTTTGCATCCAGCTCCCTGCTTGTGGCCAGGGAAAGCAGTAGAGGACGGCCCAAAGCCTTGGGACCTTGCATCCACATGGAGACCTGGAAGAAGCTCCTGGCTCCTGCTTTAAGGACTGACTCTGCTCCAGCCGCTGTGGCCATTTGGGGAGTGAACCAGCAGATGAAAGATCTTTCTATCTCTCATTCTCTCTGTAAATCTGCCTTTACAATAAAAATAAGCTTTTTTTTTTTTTAAAGGAAAATGCAGGGCCTGGTGTGATAGCGTAGTGGTTAAAGTCCTCACCTTAAATGCATTGGGATCCCATACGGTCGCCAGTTTTAATCCTGGCTGCCCTGCTTCCCATCCAGTTCCTTGCTTGTGGCCTGGGAAAGCAGTCAAGGATGGCCCAAAGCCTTGGGACCCTGCACCCTGGGTGGGAGACCTGGAAGAAATTCCTGACTCCTGGCTTTGGATTGACTCAGCTCCAGCCATTACGGCCACTTGGGGAGTGAACCATCGGAAGGAAGATTTTCCTCTGTCTCTCCTACTCTCTGCATATCTGACTTTCCAATAAAAATAAATAAAATCTTTTTCTTAATTTTAAGAAGGATAATGCTAAATCTCTTTTTAAAAAGGGCAGAGTTAGATCTTCCATCCTTTGGTTCATTCCCCAAATGGCCACAGATGACCAGTGCTGGATCGGGCCAAAGCGAGGAACCTGGAACTCTCTGAGCCTCCCACACAGAAGGCAAGGACCCAAGCGCTTGGGCCACCTTCCGCTTTCCCATGTGCATTAGCAGGTAGTTGGATTAGAAATGGAGCAGCCAGTACTCCTATGGGATGCCACAAATGGCAGCTTAACCTGTTGCATCCCAACTGGGTGTTTTCAATGCATCCTGCATGCCACATTCCCCATCTTGTTAAGGACTGGCAAGCCTTTCGCTGCTAGCTAAGCTGGCAAGTTGAAAGGCTGAGGCCCCACTTGGAGCAAGGAGCAGGGCTGTGGGGTGTGGGCCTTGTGATGACCAGGAAGCCTTGGGGGAAGGTACTGAAGCCCTTTTAGCGGTTCACACTCTGACAATCCCTGTGGACCCTTCAGCCTGCAGAGTTGGGTGACACCCAGGAGGGCGACATTGGGTTTTCTTGGTCTCTCTGTTAAGTCATCGCGCTGGACCGGGTGCTCAGTAGTCTCTCAGGAACAAGTGGATGTGTCAAACTTAGGGCATAATTTGCAGAGCCCAGTGCACAATGAGCATGTGAACATGAAGAATTTCAAGATAGTGACCATGGAGTTTATTGAACACAGTGTTCAGATACTGCTAGGGGCACCCATGTCCCGTATTGCAGAACTAATCTTAGCTACTCCACTTCCAATCCAGATTGGTGCCAGTGGGCACACTGGGAGACAGGATATAATGGCTCAGGCTGCCACCCATGTGGGAGCCCAGAATTGATTGTCAGGCTCTAGGCACTGGCCTGGCCCAGCCCTGGCTGTCGTGAACATGTGGTGTTTAAAGCAGAAGTTTGAAAGATCTCTTTCCTTGTGTCTCTTTTTTTTTTTTTTTGTCTGCCTTTCAGATAAAATGAAAATAAACATGGCCCTGTGTGGGTATATAGTGATCTGGCCAAAGGTGGCTCTGGTCAGGCTTGCCTTTCCATCCTAGGTGAGCCGGGGATTCAGTAAGCCTGGGGCAGCCCCTTTGGCTCACAGGAGCTCTTCCCATTGGACAAGCAGAAGCACTGATGTCTGACTAAGGAAGCAATGATGAAGCCAAGTTTCCATACAGGCTTCCATACAAATGAAGCCTGCTGATGGGCGATAGTATAGGGCCACCTGGGTTGCTATGGATGTGGTTGGAGGGAAGCAAGTGGCTGTGTTGGGGAGATTTTGTTTAGAAGTTCTCTGAGCTCTGCTTAGGACCCCATTTCTCAAGCAATCAGTGGGGAACTAAGTATAGGGAGGCCAGAGAAGAGGGCCAGAGGATGGGGTCCCATCTCTGAACTGTAGTGTGGTGGATAGCTGTGCAGGGTGGAGGAGTGGAAGACCTGGGATAGGCTCTGAGTGTGGGTATGAGGCAAGGCGGAGACCTCCAAAACAATGTGGAAACACACGGGCACAATCAGTTCCCCCCACCCCCGTGAAACAAAGGGCTGCCTGACGGAGTGAGCTCTCTGTCACAGGAGGCATGCAAAAGGCTGTCGGGGTCTCCAGTGAGGAAAGCTGTGGCAAGATACCTGCTTGTGGGGAGAAAGTACTTTTTAGGTGCCCCTCCCCTTGTCCCAAGAGTAGGTTTGATGGCAGACTGAGTGGTTGAGAACAGATGTGAGTGTGGTTCATCTGTTCAGGTATTCACTCGCTTGGCAAATACTCACAGCACTGTTTTGGTATTGGTGAGCAAGGCCCTGCCCTTGGGGGGGTGGGGGGGAGGCACTTCCAGGTGGGGAGCAGAGCCAGGCTGAATGAAATAATCCCTGATAAGGGGATTGTCAGGTCTCCGCGAGGGAGGGCCAGGCATGGGGAGAAGGGGGAAGTCTTGCAGGAGGAAGTATCCTGTGAGCCAGAGTCCTGGGCAGTGGGAAAGGGCCCCATGGGCCAGGAGTCCCCCGGTCTGAGGTGGTCTAGAATGTGTTGAGTGGGGGGAGTCCGGGATGAGTCTGATGGTCCCAGAGCAGTGAGGAAGCTGGCAGGGCTCTGGGCATGAGCTTGGGCGATAGCTGGGGACTGGGGCAGCAGAGAACTGGCAGGAGACTGAGCCAGCGAGCCCAGGTCCCTGCTGTCAGTGTTGGCGGAACAGTCTTTCCATACGGTGTCTGCCTCCCGGTGGGGTGGGCCTCTCTCAGTCTCCCCACACTTTGGCCTTCTCTCTTCTAGCTCAGTACTCATGTACTCTATGTGGCCGCAGGTGTAGCCTGGGGGCCAGAGCTGTCCACACAGCAAGGGTGGCTCTTCGTCCAGCACCCATCTGATGCCGGCTCCATACCAGTCTTCCCAAAGTAGCAGCCTTGCGCATCCTTATCACAGCTTGGACCAGGAGGAGCCCTGGGATGGTCACCACTCGGCAGCTGCAGACCTCAGAGTCCGGGGAGGTCCAGCTGCACGTCACATGGACGACCTGGCTGGAAGTTCACCTTTGCCCTAACACCAAGTTAGCCAAGCAATCTGGTAAGGATAAGTGTTCCCCCACCACCCACTACCAGCTTGTTAGTTGGGGTTTTGCTTAAACAAATAGTTGGTCCTTCTTCCTCCTCTGGCTCCTTCATGCAAAAGCACCTCTGATATTCCCTCTTCTTCCTCCTCCCCCCCAAGAGGAACCCCCCACCCCCACACACACATCCCCACCCCGGTCAGAGTCCTGGGCAACTATGGCTGGATACCATCAGGTCCCTGCTCTGAAGGACGCTGTGTTTAAATGTCCCAGGTTAAGAGTCCTTCCTGCCTTGGCCTCTGACCCACTGGGCAGCCTTGAGCCTGGCCTCTTGTTTTCCATGTGCCTGCAGGGCACTGGCTGGCTCTGGCAATGCCAGGCCAGGGTGGGCTTTCCGTGGGGAAGCCCCTGAGTACCCTGTGGGCAGCCTCTTCCTCCCTGACAGCCCTTTATCTCTGGGAACAGTGTTTATTGGATCTCTCCTTCCTCTGGCTGGCCCGGGAGGGCCCCTCTTTGCCCTGGAAGCCCTCGCTCCCAGCTGCTCTCACACACACACTCGGCCAGGGCCTCCTCAGGGTGGGGCTGTAGAGCCAATGGCCTCATAAAGATCTCA